AACAGTTTATGCGACTCACGAGCGTAGAGAACACCGTAGATGAGCGAGATATAAGCCGTGACGAGAAAACCAGATGGGCTCGCCAGCGAGCATGATGAACGGGCGAAAGAGCCGAGCGGATGAGGCCCATCGCAGACCAGTCCGGTTCTCATGCGCCCGTAGGTGGCCCAATGCTTCTGGCTCTCCTTTGCGCTGCGCACGAACCTCTTTGACAGCAAAAACTGGTGCAAACGTTTCCGGCAATCCAAAGATGATGAGCGCAGTGCTGGATCCCGCAAATATCATCATGACCCAGAAACACCCATCGCCACGACAGGTCACTCTCGACGATGAAGACTGCGATGAGGGGGCCCATGACTGGACCGAGAAATGCGCTGGCGGAGAAGAGCTCATCGCCGTGCCGCGTTTCTCTGTGGACCAGATGTCGGCGAGGACGCCCCCGAGTTGACCAAGGGAGCACAGGCGAAGAGGCCGCCGAGAAACCGCGTGACGAGCATCGTTTCAATGTTTCGGGCCAGTGCTTCCCCGAGGTGGAGGATAGTATACACGACCATGGCAAAGGTGTATACAGGTCGGCGACCCAACAACTCGCTTCCGGGTCCCCACACAAGCGGCTGCGGACGGATGGCGTCAGAACTGGGTGCACGAGAGAATTTGGACGACGTACGCCGAGTACATATCCCAGGAGGAACACGGATGTGACAAGATAAGAAACTTCGGCAGAGATCCCATATTCGGCGCGGATGAACTCCAATGCCGAGCTCGGTGCAGAAGAAGCAAATGTACTGCCCAAATGACAGATGAACGGGGATGAGCGGGGACGCGGTCAGCCGTGCGCTTACACATTCAAGGTCGCTATTACACAAAGAAATGTGATCCACCACTTTTTGCGGTCCGTCTAGTTCTGCGGATTTTCGGGATCGTTGGGCCCGTCCCAGCTGATCTCCTCGGGTTCTCTGGGCAGATCTTGGGCTCTGAGCTGGGATCGTTCACGTTTTGTTGCGTCAGAATCGGTGCGTGGCAGACCTGCGTCGACAATCGTCATTGACGACCGAGGACTGCGTCCCAGGGAGCCAGGCATGTCGTTCGCGATTGCGCAAGGGAGCAAGAGGATGGCATGAGGCCCAGATACTCTCTGCTTTTATATTCAGGGAGCTATTTTGGGCACCACACACAAGGCCCGGACAGCCGGAGCCACAGAGTTTGTTGTAATGCCGAAGTGGGGGCGTTGGACCAAGACATACCTTTTTGAGAACTCTTGCCGAACCACGCAAGGCGGCAAGTCATGTCAGCAGCCTTTGTCGTTGCAGCCACCAAGCCAAACGGAGCCTCGCGGCAGCTTTGCAGGTGGGATCCTCTTTCCCCCTTGCCTAGAAAGTCTTGTAAGCAATATCAATCATGCATTGCATTCATTAGTCTCTAAGTAGTTTATAGCTCTCTTACTTTGCAATTTCTGTGTCGATGCAACTCATTGCTGTTGTCATTGACTGGTATTCGATTGTGTGTAGCCACTCACATGATCTACGGCAGCCCCCTGTGCCATCAGAAATCATCGATTCATCATCAACGGCAAGATGCCAAAGTATCCAAAAAGGCAGGTCTGTGTGTCGGGACTCGGCTGTCCCTGAATCTGCATCCTGTGATTTGAAGCTAGGTCTAGCGCTAACAGTCTCTCAGAGGTATCTCGATCCTAGCAGGCTGGAATGAGCACCAAAACCGATCGGCCTCACTGCAAGCCCCTAAACAATCGCATAGCTGGCCCCGCTTGCCTCTCTCTATGGCCATCCTTGCGGGAAGTGCGTGTCTGAAACCTCTTCGTCTACGGAACCCTCGTCTCCACGTGCCCCCTTCTTGCTCTCATTCGCCAACTCTAACTTTGACTGTACAACTTGCGAGGGAGAATCTGTGGATATGTGCAGAGTCGGCGCGGCCTCAGCACCGTAATCTGCTTCAAGGAACTTGGAGCAGAGACCGTGAATGAAGTGTGCGGGTCGGTGCTCGAGAAGGGAGCCCAAGGGGGCTCCGCGTCCTCTTGGAGGCTGTCGTTGAACCATCTGCGCTTGACCTCTGCCGTGACATGGCTGAAGCTGAACACCCGTGGAACTTGAAGTATCGAGTCACATCTCAGACGATGCTCTGCTTCACGCGCAAACAGACGATCTCCATCCTCCATCCGCAACAAATGAGCGTGGCGCAGACGATACAACATGAGCCTCTGTCGCGTGTCACGGAGACATGCCCGTTCTCTGCGGATGCGTGTCTCCCCGCCGACGCTCGGGTGCGCGCACATAAATAGTGACTCAACCCGGACCAAGCGTCGCCTTCGAAGCTGAAGTGATGTCGTCAGCAGAAAGTGCCTGCCCATCGATCAATCTCAGCAGCACTGGCGCCCGAGGATTACCAGGGTGTGAGGCTTTCTTACTCGATTTCTATCCTGGATTGGCCCCTCGCTACCGAGCGTTGCTCAATTCAAACGCGGGCGACTTGCAGCGACTTGTATGAGATGGGGATACTCACACACAGATCTAGAGGGACCGGTGGACAGCAAGACCTGCCGGAATTTATTTGCCTGTGGGGTTCGATTGGCCCTCCTCCTCTCTTCATCGACGCACAGGTTTCCCGATGGATCTCGAGGTTAGCCGGAGGATTGCAACAGGCAAGCGATCGGTCGTCGAGATCCCTTCATGTGTCAAGGTCGCTCACGAGGGCGATGAGATCGTGCTCTGAATAAGAGATGCATGCCTGCCTAGACGGTGCTAAGACGCCGTCTGCCTTGGGCGACACCGCTGAAACCAAGGGAAGTATCCAGGTGCTGGTAGTCAATCAGTCTCCGCTGACGAGGAATCGTCTGGCTTTACTTGGATGAGGAGGATCTCGGATCGTGCTTGGCACGAAGCGACAGCATAGCAGCTCGAAGACTCGTTCAATGAGGACGTTGGCATTGGGACCGTCGAAGAAAGCAAGAATTGACACACATACCCCTCGACTGTCAGAATGAATTGACTCTGAAAAAGCGCTGCGACTTGGGGGAAATATCTTGAATCAAGGCAAGTAAAAATACACGAAGGTGACATAGTAAGTACAAGTGTAGTTGGTCTAATGACTGATATATGGTATGTATAAAGTAGTCCTACACGCTATTGTCCCCGGAGGCCTTTTCTTCCTCCGTCTTCAGCTCTGCTGCGATCTTGAGATCCAGACAGGGCGCAAACTTGCTGCGCTGTCGGATCCGTGCGCCGTACTTGTAGAACAAGAACGGCGACGGAGCAAGCAGCAGTCCAACGCCCCCGAGGAGGGTCGAGGCCCAGTTCACGCCCATTCCGTTAAACATTTGCACAGTGAAAAGCGGGAATGCGGCAGCGACGAGAGAACGGAAGAACGTGTTACCGGCGAATGCCGATGCAGCGTTCATACTAATCAAGGGGTCAGCGAGCGCACGAAAGACACAATCTGTGAGAAACGCACAGGTAGGTGTCCACGAGATAGCTGAGGAAACCCATGAAGACCGACGAGACGCCCATCCCGACAACGATCGTGCCCAGCGCAGGCACGTACCACGGCACGCTCGGATATTGGCCAGTCCATCCGAGCCAGAAGATGCCCACTACAAATAGGGGAGCGCCGTACATCGCACCGATCAGTCGCTCCTCGGCAGGCGGAAAGCCCTTCCACTTCTTGATGAGCTCTGGGTAGTGTCGCGAGCAGAGATAGTTGATGAAGGCGCCCAGCGAAGTGCCGATCCCGACGCCGATGAAGACCAGTCCGTTCTGAGCGATTGTGAATCCACGCTTCTGGACGAAGATGATGGGGAATGTTTCAAAAACTATAACCAGTGTCAGGAGAAGCCATGGAAAGAAGATAGAGCACTCACGAGCGTAGAGAACACCGTAGATGAGCGACAGATAAGCCGTGACGAGAACCAAAATAGGCTCGCCGGCCAGCATGATGAACGGGCGGAAGAGAGTTGAGCGAATGATGCCCATTGCAGACCAGTCCCGCTTCTCATGTGCAGCATACAGATGGCCCAGCGCGTCTGGATCTGCCTTGCGCTGCGCACGAACCCTCTTGAGCAGCAAAACTGGTGCAAAAGTTTCCGGCAGCCCTACGGTGATGAGCGCAGTGCTGGATCCCGCAAACATCATCATGACCCAGAACACCCATCGCCACGACAGGTCGCTCTCGACGATATAGCCTGCGACGATCGGGCCCATGACCGGACCGAGGAACACGCTGGCGGAGAACAGGCTCATCGCTGTGCCACGTTTCTCCGCGGACCAGATGTCGGCGAGCACACCACCCGAGCTGACCAAAGGAGCACATGCGAAGAGGCCCCCTAGAAACCGCGTGACGAGCATCGTTTCGATGTTTCGGGCCAGTGCTTCGCCGAGGTGCAGGATCGTATACATGACCATGGCGAAGACGAAGATGGGCCGGCGACCCAAGAGTTCGCTACCCGGTCCCCATACGAGAGGCTGCGAGATTTGTTCAGAAATGGTACGGGAGAGAAATCGAGCCTTGCTCACCCCGAACACATATCCCAAGAGGAAAACGGATGTGACAAGATAAGAAACTTCGGCGGAGATTCCAAAATCAGCACGGATGAAGCCCATTGCCGAGCTCGGTGCAGAAGACGCGAATGTGCTGCGAAGACGACAAGTAAGCGCGGATGAACGGGGGGCATAGCCAAAGAACACCTACACATTCACGGTAGATATTACACAAACGAATGTGATCCACCACTTCTTGCGGTCTGTCCAGTTTTGCGGGTTTTCAGGATCGTCGGGGCCGTCCCAGCTGATCTCCTCAGGCTCTCTCGGTAGATTCTGCTCCTCAAATTTGGGTCGTTCAGGTTTCGGTGCGCCCACATCGATGCGGTGGAGATCTGCGTCAACAATCGTCATAGAGGACCGGGGGCTGCGTCCCAGAGAACCAGGCATGATGTTCGTAATCGGAAGCAAGGGGAAAAGAGGATGACATGACGTTGCAGACAGTCTCTGCTTTTATATTCAGGGTGCCATTCAGGGCTGAGTCAGACTTCCTGGGCAGATATTTCGGGCGTCTGCCAAAGTGGTGGGGCAGAGGCCATTGATGCGGTTAAACGGACTTACGGGAGCCACAGTGTTTAGAAGCAGGTCGGGCCGCCGTCCGTGCATCATCGGAGGCTGACGCTCCAGTAAAGACTCATTGTGACACGTGACCGCAAAAACTCGTCAAGGAACTACCACTATGTTCGCTGGCCTCATCCGTAGACAAGCCCTTCTCACGACTTTGCGTCCGTCACGGGGCTCGTTCTTTTCCACGACCGCACGCATCTTGGCCGACGACAAGCGTCTCCTCATCAGACTCAAGAAAGTGGGCCCGAATTTCCCCAAGGAGGAACTGCAGGCAGCGTTCGATGCGTACGGTCCCAACACCTTAGACCTCCGTGCGTCGTCTTCTCTGCTCTCCCTATCCTCCCCGCGTCTAATTCGAACTTCCTTTCTACAGTCCCGGCGCGCAAGACGCCTCCGCCGTTTGCATTCGTGAGCTTCGAAAAGTCTGCAGACGCTGCGTCTGCCGCGGCCTCCGCATCATTGAAGGAAAAATTCGCTGTCGAATACTCCCGGGACATCGTGCCCAGGGCTAAGAAAGCTTGATACGTCGTCGTTTATAGCCGGTCTGCAGAATTCCCCCCAAAACATCACGACGTTCAGCTTCCCTGACACGTTTCGCATTGGACCGCCCGACCCTGATTTGCACTCTCTCTATCTAGAACGCACTACTTACACTCTCCCCACCATTGCATGATTTTATGTTTCCCGTCCGAACTGAACGCCAAGCCAGCCAGCATGAGCTTGCCCTTTCTCCGTCTGTCCGACTTTCGCTATGCGCCTTGCGCTATTACCTCATTTTCCGAAACAACGGTGATCCCGGAGTCCCACACCCATGACCGATGCTATGCAGCCCGCTCTCGCGCTTGCTGACACCGCCAACGACGTCAACACCGACATTACTAAACCCAGGTACTTTCTTACCTAGCCGGATCGAAGCGCCGCCTATTTCGAGTTCAGCTGTCTGATAAGTACGTCAGCGACTGATGGTGAAAAGATTTCGAAGTGATTGCCAAGTGCGGGCGTGCATGTATCCAGCAGTGCACTGCGCGAGGGCGTTCATTCAAATAAGACTCTGCACCAGCCAGACGCGACGCGATGAGCGAGCCGTAGTCCGGCGATCGACATCGCAAGCCTCATCGCTGTGACATACACAATTGGAACATGCGTCACATTATCTGTCACTGCAGTGTGACATCTTGTGCTCTTGTTCTTCGACGCCTACCACAGCAGTCGGGCTTGGATCTGGTGCCCCCTCTCCCCAGTCTCCTCTGCTGCTGCACGACCTTTCACGTCCACCACACCGCCCGCATCAAGTGGGATTCAGAAGCATCCGTTGATCCCTGCACCCAACTTTACTACTTACCCACGCGCCCCGTCCGATTCGGAGTCGTGGAATGCCCAGCTAACTTGTGCGTGCGTGCGCGAAACTTTGGACTCGGGAGTCTTGCTGAGAGGGCGTGAATGCAGCGACCGATACAGACTGAGATTATCTACTGACCTATTGCATACGACTATCATGAGCGAAACCTACAGCCCGGCGCCTACGCCCCCCGAAAGCCCTGTGCATGGGCCGTCTACGCCCCCTGGCTTGACGCCGCCCTCCGAGGTCGACGAACTCTCTTTGCTTGATCCATCGTCAACACCAACAACCCCAGACGCGTCTTCGAGCAACGGAGTGCTTCTCCCCTTTCCAACAAGCTCCGACGCGGCATTCGCTTTTTCCGAAATGGACACGGAGGGACATCCCCACGAACCGCTGCCCTCTGAGCTTGCCGCTGCAGCGGAAGACATAACCGTCGCCCGTGCGTCCGATGTGGCTTCTCTTACCTCAATGTGTGCTAATGCGCGACTGCTTCCAGCTGACGGAAGCTTTGTTGAAACATCCTCGGGAGCACTCGCCCGCGAGCTGAAACGGCGATATGATAATGCGCATGGTGTCAGCCCCACTGTTCGTTCGCCGTATACGATTACGGCGCTCATCAACCAGCACGGGCGCCAAATGTATCGGATTGGGTACGTTCAGATGTCCCTCGACCTCCTCCCATTAGCTATCTTGTCGCTGACTCGCTCTCTGCTAGTCGCCGAGATAAGAAAACGCCGCCAGGCGCATCCGCACTCGAGGCCGAAGAACGCGTCACCTCGACCGTTATCAGCCCCGCAAGCGACCATGGCCACGGCCGCGCACGGTCACCCCGCCGATCTCGCATCAGCGTGAGCATGTTCAACAAAACGGGGCTGGGTGCTGCTGCGGGGGGCTCCGGGGCGGTTCGTTCCGGAGCGAATGGCGGCGCCGGACTGGCTTTGCCGGGGCAAAGCAGCGGCAGCACAGGCACGCGGAAACTGCGCAAGACGCGTTCGTCCTCGGAGCTTGTGACGAGCGAAGGTTCGTCGAGGCCCAATGGGCGGGGCCATTCGCAGAGTGTGACTTCGGCCGATTACCACCCGGCCAGCATGACTGACAGCATGATCTCGAGTGCATCGCACGGAGGCGCAGCAGATGCGTTTGCAGGGATCATGGGCTGGGGGACGCCCGCGCTCGGGACTGCGACCGGATCAACGTCCAGCTTCTCCAATTCGACTTCCAACATCAGCTCGCCCCCTGCCTCGAGCTCGATCTCCTCGCCGTCGGGGCACAAGAACCCATTCGGCGGGACGATACACTTTGAATCGCCCGTCCGTAAAGTGCAGTTTGAACTGCTGCCGATGCCCAGGCATCTGCGCGAGATGCAGTCGTTCGAGTCAGGCTTGACGGCCAAGCAGACCGATCATACGGATGGCCTGATTCCGGAAGGACTGCTGCCGCGAGAAGCCTTTGACACGGATCCTCAGCGACCGCCGTCAGCGATGCGGGTGCGAGATTCGATGTCGTCGGAGGCAGCGGAGGCTCCGGCTCCGGCTCCGGCTGCGCCTTCTGGGCCACAGCCTGAGACGCTGCTTCTCTCGCGATATCAGGGGGATATTTTCACTGTTTTGCAAACCTACCGGGGGCTGCCGTTGCTGGATCGACTTGGGCCCGGGGAGGAGACGACGGTGATCAAGCTCTCGTCGTCGGACAACAACGCGGCGCCGAAAGACGATCCGCGGTTTGTTATCTGGGGCGAGCCGGTTTCTGAGCGAGAACGAGATGCTGACGAGCGCAGTCTATCTGGTGTGACGGATGGCAGTTCCTCGTCTTCTAGGCCGCGGCGGAATACGAAAGTGGGCAAGGGCAAGACACCCGACTTGCCCGGAGTGAAGCTGGACGACTCCTCGGCGGTGGTCAAGGTGCTCGTCGCGGCCACGATCGAGAGGTGGATAGCCCAGCTGACGAGCGACTTGAAATACGACGAACTTCTCAACTTCTTTTTGACGTACCGGACGTACATCAGCGCGGTGGACCTGTGCCATCTGCTGATTTGTCGCTTCCACTGGGCGCTGCAGACCTCGTCTTCGCCGCAAGATGAATTTGTGCGCAGGGTTGTGCGAGTGCGGACGTTTGTCGCGTTTCGGTATTGGATCACCAACTTCTTTGCGCTCGACTTTCTGCCCGATCGGGAGCTGAGGGTGTCGATGGCGACGTGGTTGAACACGTTGTGGCGGGACCCGATATTGCAGAAGCTGCCCGATGGCTTGGTGAGCGCATTCGAGTGTGTGATGACCAAATTGGATGCTCACCGTGGGCGCAGGCTCTCATCCGGAAGCTGAGAAAGGTGGTCCGGGATCATAAAACGATATACACGCGGGCACCGGCGTCCCAGGAAGGCACGACCTCTGCAAACACCCCCTCGTCAGCTGCTTCGGACTCCAGTCACGTTTTGGGCGAAAGCTTTGCAGCGGCGACGCGCAACGCCGCGGTCGTGGAGGACGACGCCGACATCGACTTGGATTTCGTCGCAGACGAGAACAACATGCCGTATACGCCGCCGGATTTCATCGCGGACACGCGAAACAGTATCGTGCCAATATCCTCGTTGACGGTCATGCAGCGCACGGACCCTCTCGGTGGCGATGCCCCCGTGGTGGGCAACGCGGCACTTCCTATGCACCACAATGTGTTGTCACGCGCGTTTGTGAAGACGATGGGCCAGCTGGGGCGGTGGAAACGCGTGCTGAATCAGCGCTCGACGGGGGTGGTCAGAACACCGCTTGGAGCCTGCGCGGATCCCAATGCGATCGACCTCGAGTTGACGGTGGGGCGGGACATGTTGAGCGTCAATGGCGGCTTCGAGCAGTACTTGAAGATGAAGGGCAATGGCGCCGCTCACGTGAGATCGACACCGCTGATGGCAGCGCCGCACGAAGCGACCAAGCTGTTCGTGTCTCCGCCGCCGCCGATTGACATGCCCGAGCCTGCTATCGATCAGCCAGAACCAGAAGCGGAGCCAGAGCCAGAGCCTTCGGCTGAATCCGCTATGACTGAATCCGCTGAGACCAAATCTGCCGAGACCGAACCCGCGCCAGTCGATGAGCCCCGACCGGAATCGCTCGCAGAATCGGTTTACTCCTTCCGGTCGAGTTCCACGGATTCTTTCGGCGCGCCAGTATCGTCGACGCGGGCGCTATTCCCAGGCGGCGCGCAGTCGCAGTTCCAATTCGACATCGTGTCGATCGATGACCTGGATCTGTCGGACAACTCGTCCGACGGACCAGCGGCGCCGCCGGGGCTAAGGCAACCGCTGCGAAGGCTCCCACGTCAGTTTGAGTTTGCTGCGCGCCACCGGTCGGACACCGTTTCCTCAATGGGACTGCACTCGACCGCGCACTCGTCGATAGCATCCTCGAATTCGGCCGCTGCCGAGCCCATCAACGGTGGTGCCATCCATCAGTGGCAGATGAACGCACTGGTCCAGAGTTTGAGTGACGACGAGGAAGAAGGCGATGTCGAGGCCGCGCTGAACCGGCTCGAGGGGCAGATCAACCCGACGAAGCAGCAGGAGAAGCTCAGCAAGGTCGATGGCTGGATGCGGACAATGAGGGACCGGTTCTTGAACGGTGACTATGATGAGAATCTGCAGAGGCAGTTTTCGGATGACGAGGAGGAAGAGGTGGTGGAGGAGGAGGCGAACGCAGTCGACGACGGCGAGGACGATGTTGATCAGAATCTGGGCGAGAGCGAT